GTGAAGCAAAGGGCGACAGCACACGACGCGTCGCGTCGTGCGTCGTGTCGTGCGTCCGGGCGTCGCGCTTCAGGCGACGTAAAAGGCGACGCGATGCACGACACGACGTACGACGCGACGCACGACGGTACCACGCGACGGACGACGGAAGGGGCGACGTTTAGGCGGCAATAAATGCAACATGGAAAGGACCTAAGACAGCACGACGCCACGGGCGACGGCACGACGCGACGCACGACGCGACGCGTCGTGTGTGTACAAAAGTAATGGCAAGAAGACGACGGTGCGACCCGGCGGCACGACGCAAGGGAGCCGTCGTGCCGTCGCGTCGTGTAGTTGCGTCGCCTGGAGGGAAGCTAAAGAGGGAGAGAAATGTTTGTCGTAAATAGTACACCATAGGTCCGTGCGTACATGCGCAAAGTGCTAATTTAATTAATCATTATGAAATTATTGTACTGTCTGAAAGGTAGTGGTGACGGGGACCAGCAGCGAATACCGTTCTGTCACACTCACCAATTTAGACCAGCTTTACCAGCGCCCATCGCTCTGATAGATCAAAGCAAAATATAAAAGCGAGCTGCTTCACCATGCATGCCCGTTTGAGGGCGCGCTACTAAAAAGGTGGAATCCCAATTCTGCAATACTAGCGTCTAGAATGAGTGGGACTTCCGCCATGCATGGTACATTGTAAGGGAAAGGAAAAACGTACCAACTACCAAGTACACCAAACCCTTCAGCGTCCGTAATGATTTGATAAACGGACGAATGTTGAAAGAGAATGATCAACACAGAAATAGTGCAGTCAAAATAAAAGTTGCCACACCGGCATAAAAACTTCAAGTTTCGATAATCGTACAATGAAAGTCATGCAGGACTTCGGGTACCAACGTTACGGGAAGTTGTAATATAATGCATAACAATCTTTCTCAAGAGACAAATAAGCATTCTGTGACTATAATATCGTTCACACTCGTTTCCTCTATTGCTTCATGAAGAAGCTTTGAACTGACCGAATTGTAACTACAGTTGTAGTATTAACGAAGGATATTCCTCATTCAGTGAGTAATGACCATACAAATCCAAACACTAGCGATGAGAGGTGTCTTTGGTCGAGGACATCCACTTTTGCACTTCAGTCAGTCTTCAAATCGCGAGGGACTCGGCCTTCATAAACTTTTCCACTCGCGCTTAGCGCGCAGACAGTATTTTTGACACAAATTTCCATCAGCAAATTTTGAGCACAGAGTGGCAAAAACATCACTTCGACGATGCACAAGGAATCTTTGTTCATTCATTGACCAAACTGTATGTTTTTGTAAAGGAACTGCTTAGTCGTTTGAATTAAAACTTTGCATATGAATTTCATTGAGAAATTCGTCATTGAACAGCTGCAATATTAACTTAATTAAAGGGATTGTTGATTGTAAAATTTGGCAAAATATTAAAGGGACATGATTTTAATCATGGATATGATCACACAAAACATAAGAATTGTCACTGACTTTGCTGGGTCCATGGAAACGGGTTTGTGATGACCATGCATTCTTCGAAACTCTTGAAAAGTTGACCATAACTGGTGTATGACACACATAAGTAACACGGCATGAGACCACCCCGTCGAGCTTCACGGTATGTTGTAACGTGTGTACTATAAAGATTGTTGCTGCCCTCTGTAGACCAAAATGTACACGAGGTCACAAGACTGTTTTTTCTTTGGTGGGAATTGCCATGAGTGGACAGGTTCCTTAGACGAATAGGCTCAGATCATATCAGCGACAACGGCTTAATTTAGTGTATTTATAATAATCATGCGTATTTCTGGTTAAGCACCGTTTAGATATCCCCCTCCCTGGGCATCAACAGTAAATAAGATTAGTTAATCCAGAGAAAATTTCATTTCGCATCAAAGGTAAAATCACAGCACTGGGATATACGCCCCTGTCCACAGAATGCGAAATTAAAAAAATGTTGTTGACTGCATCATGGTGGCATAAGGAGAACCAACCGCCACGCCGAGCAAGACGGGATCGACAACCGAAATCAAGCCGATTGAAGTAGAATTTCAGAATCAAATTCAATATAAATCTAATCGGCCGTTGTGACCCAGCGTCACGATGAAGACACAGGCGTCGAAGGCCTACAGCCGAGCCCATTATAATGTAAATATTACGGAACAAAATGTACAGAGAATTCAACAAACGAAAGATAAAGTTGGTTGGACCTCGCATGGCAAGGAACAGTAATGTTCACTTGGTCAATGGGCCATAACAGGAGCAGAATAGCCAGTAGTGGACTCCAGGGAAGTGTTTAACTTATGCTTGCCACTACAACCAGATCGTCAAAGATCTCTTCTCAAACATCTGTTTTTCTCTTCTTTTATTTTGCAAGTGTAAATAGCAGTGTTAAGAGCGATGTCATAGATACGGGAATAAAAATCCTTTTTTCAAGGGAGCACAGCAGGGGTACCTTGGGAAAGCAGAGCAAGTAGCTATGCCACTGAGCTGAATGCAAAGTACTGAAAGGACCAGCGAAAGCTCGCTTTACAATTCAGTGGATCACATTATTACGGGGTACCTTGTAACGTATAAACTGGGCCAGAGCCAGTGGCGTTTCGGGGGGGGAGGGGGACAACTTAACCCCCTGACGGATTTTTTTAGTTTTTTTAGTGTTTTTTTTTTTTACAAATAATACTTCACCGGTGAATAGGAAAGAAAGTAATCAGTTATTTATTTATCAAATATTAGCACCAAAAACCTAAGAAAACAACACCGTTTAATTTTTTCTCCTCCAATATCATGTTGAAAGAGCCTGAAGCTTTTCAATTTGCCCCCGTCGACACCAAAAGCGGGATATGTTGCTGGCCCGAGCACGAAGACACGCTCGTTAGATTTTCGAAGAGACCACCCTGGGTTCATCACGGAGTAACCCCAGAGACACCTACCAGAGAACGTCTGCGAGACAAACGGACTTAAAGTGATTTGAACAAAGGCTGCGTAATCGGGCTTTGTGACGAGCCATCCTGGTTTTTGCATTTCGTTTGTATGTGCCGATTAAGCCTTTATCGACTTGTGGGTCTAATCTGGTGGTAATCTTATGGAAAGTTTCCTATTCGGATCTCTAATAAGCTGCCTTTATAATTGTCTCATTCACACGCTAATATGCTTAGGTCAGACCTCATTCAAGTCTCTGTTTGCCCAGCGGGACATGACAACGCAATCCCGTCAATAAGTTGACAATACTTCAGATAATGCTAAAAACTGGAAGCACAACCCAGTTGTGGTCGCTGGTATACTGAGTAAGTCATGCTATTTGGGATTCCTGAACGTGTACCCCCATTCCACCTGCTTTTTCAGGCGTGCTTCTCAGTAAACAGTCTCTGTGCGAAAGAACTAAAATGGAGGGTCATACCAAAGTAAGAATCACACATGTTGATAACTATTTGGGGAGGCACACCAATGAACTCTGGGTTGTAGTGCACCGTTATTGATTTTAAATTCAACAAGAAAAGCTGTTTTCCACTTGGTCGTCAGAAATACGTCACTGGTTAATCTTAATCCCACTTTAGAATAATCAATGAATAGCATGCACAGTGGATACCACTAAATTCAAATTAACACAAACCCTCGCATTTGCTGAGATGCGGATAGGATCGAGTTCCTTTTTATTGATATTTATACATATTTTCTTATTCATAACTGTGAAATCTCTTCATCCGGTTACTTCAAAATAAGTGGGTTTCGATGTTACTAACCTCCTGAAGGCACTCAGTTCAAGCTTATCTTGAACAATACATGTAATTTCCAACAGGTTGAGTTATAACCTAAACTTCTTTTGCTGTCAGTAGTCAATAGATGGCGCCCTTTAGATTCGAAGCACAAGAAGAGACATATGCAGCAAGGTATGAGACGGAGAGAACCCCCCTGCTGTGTGTTGGTCATTGTCTCGCTGGAATCNGGTACCCCTCAGTCTCATTTCTTGCTGGGTATAAGAAGAGAACGAGCTCCAGGCCTGTGCTCCGCTCCCGGCCCATGGCCCAGCGCCTGAAAAGGGGTCGGGGGAGGTAGAGGTCAACACGCAATTTTTATGCACCTCCCTGTCCAAAACTTGGGTTCAACCGCGTCTGAACATTATGTGCTTCGTCTGTCACAGTTAATGTAACCATGTACAGTATCGTGAATCGTGTAATGTTTCCGTATTATTTTTGCACCGATCTCAGAGCCTGCAAAATGATTCGCACGTCAGCGCTAGTACTAGCAGCGCATATGGCTAGGCTGGCTGGGTATATTATATTGCGCATGCGGATATACGACGGCTGATCGATGACGTAGTTTGTGTGTCACCGATTTGCTATGTACACAATGCATGTAGCCCGCCCGTAAATTGCCATTTGAAAACGCTGCAGTACAGTGCTTACATACCAGTAAAAGCACGCGTCTCAGCCGGCCGGTCACGCACACGCGACGCAGGCATATCTGACTGTTCGTAACGGTTAAGTCGAGTTGAACTGTACAGATAGCTTAATTGTGCTTGTTCCATCGTTATTTTACCTGATGTACATGTATGTTGTTACTGCTGTGGAAATATTTCAGTGACATAGTCTGAAGATTGGAAGGATATGTGATGTACGTGAAGCTCTTAAACTATGTTTTACGGCTAAGTTTCATCACACAGAAGGAGCGGAGCTAGCGACATTTTCGCGTCAGTGTCACCACCAGAAAGTTGTCAGTTAAACGGGAAAGTTCTTGGACAATCCTCTCTTCAGAACGCGAACAAACGCCGTCTTTGTCTTGGAAATCTCTTGAGGTGAATACTCGAGACTCGCCAATGGTACTCACCGGTTTCACCAAGGAGTACCGCGATCTGGAGACCTTCCAACCGTACAATCCGACCGCTTCCAGTGCAATCATGCCCCCTCAGGCCCAGTCCTCTACCGCCCACCACCATCACCGGGACCATCATTCGACCACTGTGCCGGTTGGCATGGGGTCCCCAAAGGCTCGTGGCCCGACGACAACTTCCAACATTTTCAGGACAGATTCGGCGAACGAGGAAGACATTGATACCAAAGTGAAGTGTGTTTTAATAGGTGACGGAGCGGTAGGCAAAACTAGTTTGGTGGTCAGCTACACAACCAATGGCTATCCGTTGCAATATGTTCCTACAGCATTTGATAATTATTCAGGTAAGGCGATTGTTTTGTTCTGGTGTGTGTGGTTCCCACTCGTTGAAATTTTTTTGGACACAGCCATTTCTGAAAATGTCTGTTGCCCTAAATAAATGAAGGGGTTAGGTTTGTGTGCCATGGCATTGAGTAGGTTGTAGTTTTTCTTACATTATAAAATGTAGGCACTTCATTCAAAATGACTCCAAATCAACGCTTATGTTGGTAAGAGTCCCATTTACAGACACCACTAATTTTTCCCTAAAGTGATGTACTGGCCATCTTTTAAGTGATAATATGTCCTAACATGTCAAATTTAGCAGGGAAAATATTGGAGTGTTTTTTAGTAGAAAACACAATGGTGTCAGGTGATGTCTGTGTATGGAACTTTTTTTCCCATTTTTTTTTAAGAATGACAAAAATGGAGGCGTCAGCAACTACACAATTCCCTGGCCACACTTGGCAAAAGTGAATGGGAAATATCTTCAGATACAACTTGGTATCCTCCATGGTATAAGAAACCATGGAGGTGGAAACTGTTTCTACCCCATGAAGAAATTTAGGGTTTCATGTGCATATGCGAAAGGCATAGGCCTACTCATTCACAGCAACAGCTTCTTAAATCTTGCCAAATAATGTTATACAAAGAAATGGCATTAGTTATATTTAGACAGTGGATATGAGCCATTGCCAGCAAATTTAACAGTATTCAGCCAGGTACAAGAAGACAGCACCCTCCTTGAGGGGAAACATGAGTAAGGCTGTAATTAAAGGTTATTAAATTCTAAAATCAAGTACTGTGGGGTCTGTGGTGTAGTAGTGGATAGCGCACACATCTTGGAAGTACACAATACGCTCCCAGCTGGGTTTGATTCCCAGCTATCATCTTTTTTTTGTCTAAAAAGTGAAGTATCTCTCTCTTTTGTTATTTCTAAATTGACTCCATTTTATCACAGAGTACTGCATTTTCTTTTTTTGATTCATTGCTCCGGAGGATTTTTTTAAATGGCCAAAATTGTAAAATGGTCTGATTCCCACCTTGTAAATAGGAAGTCACAACGTCTTTGTTGGGGCAGAACCAGACTAAAATTTGTCATGGTAAGAATTTTTAAGCCCCGAAAAACAGTTACTGTGCTTTGTGCCTGGTAAAATATTGTTCTGTTAAATTTACGGGCAACGGCTAAACATCTATTCCCCAATATTCAATTGTAAACTACAAGCTTTATGGATACATTTATGTCAGACCTATCAGTACCTGAAGATCCAGAGTTACAGTCAAGACTAGTACAGCGTAATCATAGAGCAAGGACCCATGGCATAATTTGAACTCATTTTGGAGTGAATGACCTCTCACTGCCTCAGCGTCATTGTTACACCAACTATTCAAGGATGTCCTGTCTCCCAACCCACAATTGGTTTTTCCCTTTACATCATGGGGGCTCATTACCACCATGTTCCTTGTAAGTAAGAAAGAGAGTAGAAAAAAGAGGGTAACCATTTGATGTGGTTGTGGTGGCTTAAAGGAATTTTGAACCATGTGGATGACTCACATTGTTTGCCCTTCAAGTAGGTTTCCCTTGAATTCTCTTCCATGTAGGTGGCAGTGAATCATACTTGTAATCCCTGTAGAATGTGGGTTTTTGTTTTGAAAGGTGTTTACATTGAATTGTCTACTATTCGCTAACAGAACAATTTCTAAAGAACGGTCAACAAGGTTGGTTGATAGATTGCTACCGTGTCTCACTCTTAATTTTAAAGTCCTGCTTAGATTTACACTTAAATAGTTACAGCATGCATTATGCATTAACCTCCCCATGATTCTTGTGCACATGTACACGTGTTGCTCTTAAAGCCTTTTCTAGATTTGTAAAACTTGTGGATACATGTCCCCATACAAGTACAAAATGCACTTGTCATTCTGACTGCAGAATAAAACATACATGTAGTATGAAGTTTATTTTGAAATCAAAGGGAAAATTCAACCATTTAGCATTGTACCTGCGGCTTTTTTTTTTGGTGGCTATTTTATTTGACAAGTTGTCCTGCCTAGTGGAATTGTGTAACAGCTGGGTTTCTAAACTAAGTTGTATCGTGGAGGTAGGAAGAGAATGGGCAAAGTGAACTATACATGTACATGCTGTAGTGGTTTGGTTCATGGTTCACATTACCAGTTCACGTATCTGCACTAGCTGCAAGGCCAATGTTTGTTATTCAGCCCAGCCCAGTTGTGGGCCCCTCCATGTGTGTTGTTGACATTTGAAATTCTATAGAGTCTGGGCCCATGGGTCGTTATTGTGGGTTTGCCTTCTGATTACTAATGTGCTAGCTGAAGAGAAGAAAGAAGTCTGACAAAAATATCCTTATACATGTTTTGCTGACTGTGTTTGATATCAAGAAATCAGAAAGACTTTGCAAGTTAGCACTCCAGGTTAATAATAATTGGCCACAGCGTCCACTACATGGAATGTGCAGTGTTGAAAGTTATATATGCAATCGAGTTTGTTAACAGTAAAAAAAAATAAACATTTTGTTACTTTCTTTTCTGTGCACTTTTACAGTTGTGGTCAGAGTGGATCGAAAGCCTATCAAGATACAGATTTGTGACACAGCTGGTCAAGTGAGTACATGTATCTCTGTGCAGTCTTAGTGTAGGGGTATGTTGCCTAAAAGTCAAGGCCATATTTTTTTTAAGTAGGTAAGCTTTCTCCCTGTCTGCAAACGTCTGTAATCTTGCGAATGTGGTTTAGTTTCAAAGGGTCTGTAATCACGTTAATAGATATCCAATAAATATCTCAAATTTACTTTGCTGGTGTTAACCCTTTCGCCTAGATTGATAAAACATGGATATTACCAATCAATAACGCCTGTGATCTGTTCCACAATCCTTAATCCAGTGATTACAGCGATAAGTTCCAAAATTTGGAAGCTGTCCCCGACAATCTTTGCACAGAGTACAAACATGAAAGATATCTTATGAAATACAGCGTTTAGCTATTGTACATGAACATGTATGAGGTTACCCAAATGTAATGGCATTTTGACTGATCAAACGTATATTTAAAATGCAGCAATCTGTCTTAATTAACTGAAATTGCAAATCAGTGTGTAGTCAGGCCTAATGTTGGCCTCTGCTGGTTATGATCATGGTAATTTGTTCACAAGCATTTTACATGATGTATATGGATGCAGTTGGCACCATAGAAATCATAGATAAATTCAATAGATTATCGCATGCTAAATTCCACTTATGGGGTGATTGGATAGTAATCGGTATAAATTGGGTGTGGGATGAACTTTGGCCGATCCAAAGAATCGTGTACTCAGTGAACACTGTATACACTGTACACATATATGTACGTGTACCGGCATAACAGGGAAAATTTCAAACCCAAAATGTACATGTACATGTGGCATATTGTAATGTATGATGTTGGCCTTTGAGGCAACATCTGTCCCTAACAGGCTTCAGAAGTTATTGATCATAATAGACTTCTGGAATGGAATAACCCACTGGCCATAAATCATCTACTTAGGCAGTTGACATGTCTGTCTTGTTCAGCAGAACCCATGGTGAAATGTTCCAGGTTTTGGTAGACGTGCCTGACTGCTGACCTTATGAAGAGAGCATTGTATACTGTTTGGCTGGTGGTCACTCCTGTAGTGTATATGCATGCACATGCATATGTACATGCACATGTATGCTTGGCCAGGGTAGTTACTCATACAGTACATGTAGAAGTGTATAATCTGGGTATTCTTGTCTCCTGTGCACCTTAGGAAAAGAAAAACTAAGATCAGCAGTCTCCATGAAGCTAATTTTGTACTTAAGGTCCATTGATAGACAATCATGATTTCCAGTGCTTGCCTTATACATGCCTTGGCTATCTGCCTAACTGTGCATCCCACTTTTCGTTTTTGTTTTTTACTGAATGGCGCTTGAAATGAAAGCCAGAGAGAAGACAGTGAAAGTGTAGCCCTGGGCAAAATGGTCAGACATAATGCTTGCAAGAAGCACAGTGGTGAAAAGGGAAGCTTTTCATTCATTGCCAGTCTGTGGGGGATTCTCACCGACTCCTTTGTAGGAAGTTGCTTGGGTCCCCAGGATCCAAACATTGTTGGATCCCATTGTAAATCGATAAGTACAGTGCTAAGCTTTGCCCGGATCTAATCAAGAGTCTTAACAAGAGGACAGAGGGCAGGGACCTGGAGCAGAGATCGATCTTGAGGTTTCCAAAAATGACAGCAAAAATGAGAATCAGGCCTACAAACAATAACCTCAGGATCGACAACAAAGTCTGCAACATATTGTTTCAATCAGTGTCGAAATTAATTTACTTGGACAAGGTGTTTTATCATCGAAGTGTTGAGTCAGCTACTACTGAAAGATACTATGTCACACAGTCACACAGATAGTATTTTGGCGACAGCATAAAACAGTTTCAAAAATTTGTCACAGCTAAACAGATTTGGTAGAGTTTATTTGACAAGAATAGGCGTTTTGATGTACCGACACCTTGTCAATAGCAGTGTGCCATCTCTCGTGAAGACATGCACAGAACTCTTTGCCTTATTGCTTCCAGGCAGATCACCTTGAGTTTCTCTCTTTTTGTTTACTTCTGACCCTTTCAGCTCCAGAAGGAAAATGTAGAATTAAGGCTTGCATGTTCCGGTAATCCTTCAGGGAATACTCAGGCTGATGTAACCACTCTTGTGTGAGGTTGATAGGCCCTTTCCTGCTGTATTGTCACTGCCAGATTAATGCTTACTTGCTTACTTTACCTGGATTCAGGAAGCTTTTATGGGCCTCTCTTATTCTTAGCAGAGCCCTATTTCATGGTGCTGCTAAGCACATGATTTCACACTAACGAAGGCTCAGTGTATTTCGTGGAGACCATAAGTAGTAAGCCCAGCAAAAGGCATACTTACATGTACATGTACCGGTACCTTGGAGGAAAGATTTGCTTAACCCAAACCCCCTAGGGTGTATGTAAAATCGTATTGAAATTTGTGGATTTGGGACTGTTAGGGTTAACTTAGTGATGTAACAACAGAAATCTCTGTGCGCAGGCAACCAAAATCACAACTACACCGAGCACTGCCTTGAAATAGTGCTTTAGGTTAAAAAAATTTTTCTGCAACGGTATGGTAAGCCAGACTTTCCTGCTGTTAGGCAGCTCCATGCAATTGGGCCCATACTGCAGGGAATGCCTTTTTACTGTGGGGAGCATAAAAGTTTACCAGCTGGGGGAAAAAATTACACATGGTGAATACATTAATTGCAGACTAATGAAAAGCTAATCGATGTACACGTACCATGTCTTGATGTTGACGTTGACCTGTAGCATAGTACTCATTTGTAGCAGAATAATACCCCAACAAAGACTTGGAAAGCAAGCATATGTTCACATGTATGGTTAGTGTAACTGGCAGTCATCAGTTTGTGTGTGTGTGTGGTTTTTTTGACATGTTGTGCTATAGGGCCTACATGTACATGTACCCTTTACACTGTGTGCAATGTACATGTACATGTGAATACGTACATATATGTTCAGGGCTTACATGTTTCAAAACTTACAACCTGTCTAAACTAGCCATGAACAAGAAATTTCCAAATTTGGAAAATGGCATATTGGAGAATGCTGCAGGAAGAGATAAGTACACACACTGTCCACCCACAGACAAGCGTGTACATGTACATATGTACATGTGCAGTTATGTTGATAGATGTGCAACATCTCTCTCAGGACCTTGTGGTATTGCCTTAATGTGATTGATCAGTCTCAAAATATTAGCTGATGCAGCCAAATTCTCTCCCAGCACGGGGCAGTCAGTGTAGATCCTTCAGTGGTACAGCCATAGCCCACTGCAGTCAGTGTAGATCCTTCAGTGGTACAGCCATAGCCC